ACCCCCCCCGCTGTCTCTGCAATACACTGTACTGCTGCTACTGCTGCTAGCCCAGCCAGCCAGCCCCAAAGCAGCTCTCCTGCTCCTGATCTTGTTCTTCCTTTTCTCAGAACAAAAATAAATAAAAGGATTTGACCTATTACACAGGAGATAAACATTGCAGCTCTATGGGGCATCCGGAGCAAGGTCATGTCACTGAGGGCAATCTGTTGTAATCTGATGTGTGAGGAGCTGCAATGTGTGGTTAAGCATGGTGTGGTTAAGGTAGTTCCATTGCAAGGCTCTTCTTGTTACACCTCGGGCTGCCCCTTGTTTGTAGGCTGAGGTGGTTATTTTGTTCTCCAAGCCATCCTTTCTACTTGCAACCCCCCAATAAGAGAGTCAGAGCGTAGCTCCCATGGCACAGCCACTTTATTCTCCCCTAACTTAAGCACATTATGCACAGCAAAGGGTTATTTTCCCTCTGTCCCAACCAGGGTCACCCTTTTTCCTTCCATATCTGTGCTCCCTGCCCTTTCTCACCTCTCCAAGGTGGGAAGCAGGGTCAGGGATTTCCTAGGAAGATGGGACATGGTATGGCCCCACACACAATGCAAACAGGCTCGTCCCTGTCACTCAGGAGGTTTCTGAGCTCTTTTTGTCATGCTGTAATGTATTTGTTGGAACCCTCTGTAAAGCATGCTTAGGGCCATGGTAGGTGCTCCATGTATCCCTGGTTCCTCCTTGTTCTTACTCCATTTTCCTTCTCCCTAGCCCCAAACCAGTAGGTTTCCTGCCACTGGTGTGGAGGACCTTTGGAGAATCTGGGATTTAGGAGTCAGTTTTGAGCCAGTATCCAAGAATCATGACAGTTCATATGCTCACAAATGAGGACATGCCTGAGTTGACCTTATGGCCCCAAAGCTTGGCCAGTCACCTATGGAAAGTCTTTAACTGTCATTCTTTACAATCAGATGCTTTCAGGAATGCTACTTCTAAAAGCAATTTTATCCTAAACAACTTAGTAAAGTCTAGTGTTTGGCCTCAAGGGGGAGGAATTTTGGATGCACAATGTTAATTTATTAGCTCCCCTCAGATGGTTTTTTGTGCTTGCCTCCCAGGCGAGTTAACTAGACAAACGCTGCAGACAGGGATCTCCCTTCAGACCGTGACCTCCACTGGCTGAGAAAAGCTACAGAAATACATGGTGGTGAAAATAATGCTAGGGTCAGACCAATGCTTCGTGCTGGCATGAACATACACTGCTCTACTGTATGTAGCAGAAGGGTGATTCTGTGAGAGATTGCAGTGGGCTCCTGCCCACGGAACCACTCAGCTGAACAGCATAGAGATTTCCAAAAATACATTCTAGTGAAAGCGGAGCTACATATAGGTGGGGAGTTTGCTGCTGTTTGATAGCTGAACATGTCAAATGTTAGCATTTCTGACAATGCCTTACATATTTCTGATGTAAAGATGGAAGCTATAGGTTGCTGCAAGAGTAGAACTTTCAGCTGTCACACTGTTACCTCTTCTCTCTTCCACCACCACTTTTTTTTTTTTTTTTAGTATCTTGCAAAGTCCACGTTTCTGGAATTAACTTGCTAGAAAGGACATGCTGCATTGTAATGCAATATAACAGCAGCATTTGGGCCTCTCAAAATGCCTAAGGCTTTGCAACAGGCAGCAGTAATTATCAAGTCACCATAACTTATTGTCTTGCTGTTTCCCTGTCAAACTCTAAACAGGCTGTCATAGTTTATAAATTGACTGCACCTGAAATGTAACTTTTTATACAAGTAGTTTATTTTCTTGCAGTTCCATGACCTTTTGCATGATCACATAGTTGCTAGTGATGGAGAAATTGAAATTATGAATTTTAGTGTAGTGAATTTGAGCTGTCTGACCAAGTCCAGCAAGAAGAAAAATGTAAATGATGTAAAGCAAAGTAAACCTGGATTGTTGTGGTTTTCATCATCTGTGATATTTTAGTAATGCGGGTACAGGCTTCTTCATTTTAAACATGATTTATGTGCATATATACGTGTATACAGAAAGTACATAATACATTATATGCTGTATAACAGTTCTGTTGATCACTGCAGACTGTTGCACAGGAAGGTGAAATGAGGACAAACTTGCCTGCAGCTCTCTGGCAGTCCCTCTGCTGAGGGGACTGGACCGCATCCTGCCAGCTCTCTGCTGCTGAGCTGTTCTTTGTCTGGAGATGCTATTATCATTGCAGTTGTTTTTCCCCATCATTCCCGAATTTTCTCTGGTGGCCAAAGAGGAAGTAACATGCATGGTAGCTTAGCTTGAGAGAGCCAAGCCCTCCTTTCCTTTCTCTGGTTAAATAGGCTGGGATGTTTTTTCTCTTTTTTTTTTTTTTTCCCATTTCTGGGAAAACCATTAAAGGCCTATTCCTCTGCTTTCCTCAGCTGCGTTTCTGATGATTCTGTGAAGCAGTACACGTCAAAGGACCATCTTGCCAAGCATTTCCAGGTTCCTGTGTTCAAGTTTGTGGGCAAAGACAACAAGGTAAGCTCAAAACACACCTCTTTGGTATTGCATCAGCTCTGATCTGACCGAGGAGTCTCAGTGCAGAGTTGACTGTATTAGAGTGTGAAGGGGAGGAATGGCTGGCCCAAGGCAGATGCTGCTGTGCCTATTCCAGCAGTTGTGTCTTTCAGAAGCCTGACACAGGTACTTTAGGAGAGAGTGATAAAAACAACTAGAATTAAATACAATAGGAAGGACAGTTGTGGAACATCAATGCCATAGCAGGTTAAAAGCATTGTTTTTTCCAGGGTAGTCTTAGTGGACCCTTGTATGCTGGGCGAGAAAAGTGTTCCCAGTCACCAAACAGAAACCTGGGGAGTTAGGCACGTTACACAGTGTCCTATCTTTAAAACAAGACGGTCTATAGTTTTGAATCTCTTCAACCTTATATCTTCTCTAGCTCTTGTGAGTACAGATGCCTGCTTTCCAGATACAAGGCCACCATACTGTTTAATTCAATGTGAAACCAGGCCGTCCAGGCTGGTGGCACTCTGGGACAGAAGCTTTGTAGTGGGAGGACAGTTGAAGGATAATGTAATTTTCCTAATCCAAATAGCTTTCCTTGTCTGTGCTAGAAGAAATCAGGTCTTTCAGTCACTGTTGTTATGCTTAGCCAGTGCTGCTTGCTCCAGAAGGCATAAACGTGCCCCTCCAGCTCCTGGAAAACCTCAGTAGGGTTAAAACGGATGAGATCTTTCAAAATTCAGAGATTTTGCTCAGCTGTCTGATTGCCACTGCTGCCTCCAACCTGCATCCTCCCAGCCTGTGCAATGGATTTTGCTTCAAACCTCACCATTGACTAAACAGTCACAAATATTTGCTTTCGTAATTGCTGCTTGCCAGGGATCTTGCTTACTCTCCTTGTCATTTAGAGGGCAGGGAGCAGCAATCCTGTCACTGCCCTTACTGTGCAGAAAGAAAAGGCAGCTGTCTCCCTGCCTTTTGTGTTCTACTTTTCCTGTCAACTACTAGTCTTAGTCCCTCATCAACCTGCGTTTTCCTCCTTTGCCCCTCAGTCTCCTAGCTTTATGTTTTCTCAGCTCATGTCAAATTCTCTTTCACGTTTCTATCAGTCCATCTCCTTGTAAGGGTTCATGCATTCTTGGCCTCCTTCTACCAGTCCATGCGAGCTCTTCCAAGCTTAATCCTGGCATTTTCATCCCTTCTTCTGGAGGATCATTTCATGCCTTCATACTCCCTGTCTAGCCCTTGGCTAACAGACAGACGCCATGCTCTGAGATCTCAGCCAGGCACTTTGGAAAATGTGCCATCTCCTGGGCAGACAAGAAAACAGATGGAGCAGCCAGTTTGGCTGTGGATGGCAATGGTGGATATGGACCTTGTTGGTTCAGGGACAGAAATGGCTGTACTGTGGGAATGGTGTCACTCATGCTCTGTGAGAGCTGGCAGCACTGCCACTCTGATTCCCAGAGCTGCGCATTGACTTGGCCTGCTGTCTCACCACCCTCCAGGAGGTCTTCTTGCATTGCCGCATCCTCGTGTGCGGGGCGCTGGATGAGAGCTCTCGCTGTGCCCAGGGCTGCCGGAGACGGGTGCGCAGGTCAGCTGAGACGGAGGAAGAGGAGGAGGAGGAATCTGTTCACATGGCAAACCACATCCTGACGGGTGGCCCCATCAGAATCGATTTTGATGACTAACACCCACCCACTGGAACAGCATCTCCGCCTGAGACCAACCTTCCTTATCAATGCCGCCTTTCATGGTGGTTTGAGAAACAAGAGTTATTTGGTAAAGCCCCACTTGAACCTCAGGACTTGTTTCTCTAACCGTGTGATGATTATTTGTGAAGTATGTTGGGCACACGAGGCAGCCCTCTGAGTGCAACCTGGACCGCAGAACAGTTTGGTTTTACCTGCATTTCTTCCAAACAGTCCTTCAGTTGAAGGGACCCTGTTGCTTTGCAGGCCTGAAGCGTTACCCAACTTTGTCTTTCCCTACATCCACCTGCAGGCTCCACAGGACTGTTTGTCCTCGACTAAACAAATGTTATTCAAGCTCTTCTTTCATCAGACAATACAAATAGTATCATAGCTGAACGTGTTTGCTATGCAGTTCTGTGAATGATGCTGAAGCATTTGGATGTGCTGAGATTTTGGATGACTGTTAATAAAAACATGTATAAAAATATATGTCTCAATGTATAAGTTCCTTGGAGCTATAAAACAGTTGTCATTACAGGCAGCTAAAGCTCAGATCTATCACAGGCACATTTAAATGTTATTTTTAAATAGTAAAAGGTATTTAATAAAACTCAAATTTTTTTAGTGTCTTTTGATAATTGCATGCAGTTTAAGTGTTTTCTCTTGCATTTAGTGAATCATTATTTTTCTCCTTCTCCCCTCACCAAAAATGCGGTGCCTTTTGTAAGTGCTATAGCACCTTGATTGTAAGAAAAAGACCATTAAACATCTATAAATACATTCCCCGCCCCCCCATCACCACTCTGCCACAAGTGTGCTGCTACTCAGTCTTTGTTTGAAAGTTACCCTGGTCTAGAGAGGCTATGACTCTGACAAAGGGATTAGAGGAACGCACGTTAAGTATTTATAGCAATCATTTGTAATGTGGATAGTTCTGGGGACAGGGTTGTCCCCAGTGAGCCTGGTGACAGGAGACGTGGCAGCGTTTAGTGACTGTGTGCATTCACAGTCTCCTGGTGGGTTGGAGCTGGCTAGGGACGCAATTACTGGTGATGGTGGTGGCATCCATCGTGGTTGTCAAGAATCCCTTTGGGCCGTCAAGTTCCTTCCAAAGAAAATATAACGGATGATTAGCTCAGGCTCCTCTGGGCTTCATTCAGGAGCAAGAGTGCTTGTGTGGTAAAGGATAAGAAATGTGGGGTGAAAGGAAGGAGGCTCAGCGAGCAGTGAAGGACAAATAGGAGAGGCAGGGCTGGAGGGTGAGAGAGGAAGGATCCATCTCCACTGTTGGCTGTGGCACTGCAGTGTGTTTATGAGGTTTTCTGCAAGAAGCTTCACAGTGTGCAGCTCTGTCCTGTGTGTTTGGAGGTGCGCTGGAAGTCCCCCTAGCCTGCAGCCATTTTCTACTTTGGTTGGAAGCAGCCAAATTGCTGCCAAAGCCAAAATTTGTTGCTGCTCTCAAATGGATGGGGAGTCTGTTTGAAGGGACCATTTAGAAGGGAGTCACAAATCACCTCAGCAATATTCCATTTCACAGGTTTATTTCTTCTGGTGAGTGAGATTCCAGTGAGGAATGGGCATTTGATGGGCTGGGAGTTTCATGATTTTTCTAAATAGCTTCATGGCTGCTTTTCCTATTTGGGAATATGCATGTGTGTGTGTGTTACAATAAATGAAAATGTTTCTATGATGATAAGTAGGTGTAAATGGAAAGACACTTTTCATGTGTTATCTAACCATATGTGAAAGAAAAAGGAATGAAAAAGCCGCCTTCTTGCATTGCTATGCGTCTCCTGGTTCTGCCGATTCATGTCTGCATTAGGACCACATGGACAATTTCCCGCTGTCACTTCTTTGTTCAGGCAGCCCCTGCTAAATATACTTGTTTTGATAAAACAAGAGCTGGAAAATAAGATTAATTAGCTGGTGCCTTCTGGAGACGCAACTGGTGTTTTCTGTTTGTGTGAAAGGGACGTGGGGGAGTGGTGGGGAGAGAGGTTAATTTTCTGGCTTATTTCAGATATTGTGCACGTTATTTGGTTCTTCCTGACAAATCCATATGAAGCAGCCTTTCTGCTCTGCAGCTTTTTAGTTAAATAATTTGGAAGAATAATGAGGAGGAAACACTGGTTTGTGTGGCCATGTGAATGGAGCAGTTTGGGAAGGTGTTCAGTTTGCCCTCCAAGCAGGATGGTCTACTATCTGCCACTGTCCAGTGGCCATTCCTCCTCTGATGTAGAAGGGATGGCTCCTAGGCACAAACAAAACCATTTTTCAAAGTCTTTTAGCTCTCCCTAGTTTACCTCTTGTTTCCATCTGTCATCCTTGTCAGCATTACACCCTGGATGTGAAATCAACGGCCAAACTCATCAGAGAGTCGAGGGATTTGTACGTTTAATTTAATCTGCCACGCCATAGAGTGGAAGCAAAACACACTGCACAAGCAGGCACTGTGTGTGCAAGAAGGCAACGTACCCGACCAGTGCTCCTGAAGGTCCAACCAGCACTGCCAACCATAGTTGAAAGTCCGAGCTGCATCAGTGCTGCCCAATGTGTGTGGTTGGTATATTCTGGCTGGTGCCACCTCATTTTCTCTTAGGATGTAAAGTAAATGTTTGACAGGAATGAACACCTATTACCTACCATCCTAGTCCCTGCTTTTATGTTCTCAGTGGAAACATAGAGATTGCTGTTTGGGGAACCATTACTAGGAGAGGGCACACTGGCCGAATGAGTTTGATATCAGCAAAAGTTGCAAATAATCCTGCTAATACACAAAGTCAACAGGAAGCCATCAGGTAAGCACAGTGTCATCTTCCTGTTCCGAGCAGGGTGGAAGTGAAGATGACCCAAGGTTTGTGCATTGACCGTGAGAATCCCATGATCAGCTGCTTTAGTGGCTGCATACCACTGGGTAGCAGGAGCAGCATGGAGGGGATGCAATTTTTAGTTTGGATGCAGAAGTTTTACTGTAGTTCATGCACTGGTTTTCTCCTACGCAGGGTTATCTGGTGGTTTTCTTGAGTCACTGCCACTTCTTGAAGGTTCATAAGTTTCCTTGCAGAGCTGCTCGTGAGGTTTTTCGGATTACCACAGCCTAACTTCATGGTGAAAAATGTACTTATTCAGTAGCTGCTCTGTGTACAGCAGTCTGTAGTGTTTTGGGATGAATGGTGGTCTGAAAGCATGAAGAAATTATGATTTATATTAGTGGTGTCTCCAATGCATCAGCGTCTGGATAGAGAGCTTTTGTTCAGAATTCTTCAATTTTTCCAGCATATAGCATCATCTGTTGTCAGTTGCTTGGCCTGGCTTTAATCTGGTATCACTTGAACTATAAAATGCTTTAAGACATTTGCCAGCCAATTGGCTATGGAGCTTAGACAAGATACTTTTTTGTTTGTTTGTTTGTTTTTTAATTTTGACATTTAATCATAAGAGTATGCTCACATTTAAAACTGGCAGTGGCCACCGTTTCACCAACGAAACACAGTTTGGTAAGTGTCTGGAATGAGGAATATTTCCTTCCCATCCCTGGCCAAAAATACGTGTTTCTTAGATGGGTAATAAAGATTGTCTGTCCAGTCTCATGCTCTGATAGACACACACTGCGATGAACCTTGGCAATGCAGTATTCACTCTCCAGTGGCATTAGAACAGGTAGGAAAGAATGTCATTGCATCTGATCAGTGTAAATTAAGGTCTTCCTTAATGGAAAACATCCCAGTACACCTCATGCGGTCACTTCCATTTTCCTGGTCTTAATACCAGTGGGGTCTTGTTGTTTCAGTCTGTTTGGGGCCGGATAAATGTCTCATTGCTGTTCACTGTGAAGCAAAGATAACTGACAAGAACGGGAATACTGGGCTTAAATAATTCATGGCTCCGTGCATACATTTAAACACAAACTAGAAGAAAAGTAACTAAGACAGGCTCTTCCCATTCTTGTTAAATCACCCTTCTGTAGCCTTAACTTTTCTGTGGCAGATGGAAGAACATAACCATAAATATGTTTGCAGAAGATGCTGAAGTATTTACGTGGCGTGGCACGCGCACCCAGTAGCAACTTTCTTTCAACAAGAAGCACAGATGAAAGCTGTCTGCAAATGTTATATGTAGATGAAATTCCATATACCACTTTAAATTCTAATTTTGCATGCAATAAAAGCTCCTGATGACAGATGGAAGTATTAACCATATTTTGGGAAGAATGCTGTCTGAGGCTGCTGATCGTTCCTCAGCTGGCAGTGTTTCTGCCCCACAGAGGTAGCATGTAAGCTCTGCCACCTTGACAGATAAGCCTCTGGGATTTTGAATCTCTCATCCAAGGCAAATGTGAGCCTCCTGTTTCCCTCATGCAAAAGATGGAGGTGGATATCCAGCCATTTTGCGTAAAAAGGGATCTTAGGGAAAAACTTTGTTAAATGATATAGGAGGAAAATAATGAAATAGATCTGGATGACGCTGTAAAAGAAAAGCAGCTCCCCCTCCTGAGACTGTGGGAGAGTGCTGTGATTTCATGTCAGATGTAATGGGCTTTGACACCTTTCTGCCCAAATATGAATTGTGCCTGTATCACAAACACTGAAGAGTCCTTCTCATGCTTATCAAATCCCCGGATGTTTTAAATCAGTTTAGGATCCACCAAGTATATTTAAATAAACAGAGTTGTCAGGTTGTGTAACGGTAGGATGGAAAATGTCAGAGATGGGTGTGAGCAACATACTGAAAGCAAATTACCCCTCCTCTTTGGTCTGTCACCAGTGGTAGAAAAATGTAAATAGTGTGTCCACGGACTGGGATTTTCGGGGGTTGCAGAAACCTAATGCCTTGCGCCACAAATTAGAGAGTTAAGGGGTGGGGGGAGCTAATACATGTGTGTCTAAGGCAAACAAACAAGTAAAGCCCCTTGTTTATAACCAGCGCTGCATCCTGCTTGCCTCTCCTGATCAGTCGGCAGAGAAAATTGGCATCAGATCATTCAGGCTGATGGACTTGGAAAGGGGTAGGGCTCTTGAACTGCATCTGTGGTGGACAGCAGGCATCACTGCCCTATATTCACAGGCTGTCTCCCCTTTCATAGCCCTCTGTCCAAAAGCTGTAGTTGATGTGTATTGCTTGGCGCAGGTCCCCCCATCCTGGGCTAGGCCAAAGAGCTGATAGAAATCACTGCGCTCAAGTGTGGTATCAGAGAGGGGACGCTTGGCAGCAGGCTTATGGAGGCCAGGCATCTGCTCTTCCTCACAATTCATCTCGTTCTTCCTCGTTGCAAATGCAGGCACTCCTTTGGCTGTTCATGAAGGGCCGGCAGCCCAGGGTCCAGACAGCATTGAACACTGTGTCTGCGATGGATTCACAAGCTGTGGAGAAGGAAGAGATCAGGCAGGTAAGTAACAGGCACTCTGGGATATCT